GTCTAGAGAGACACGAATGAATCGAATGATCTCCTATCGAGGAAGCCGCTGCTTATATCCTCGATATGCATACGTGGAAACTAGTGCGGATAACGATTTTTATCCACCCGAGGTGTTAACGTCGCTTTTTGGATTCAATATTTTGATTTACGATTGGATTTGCCTATTTGATTTGACTGATTCAATTTGCGGTTTTCTTCAAGTACCGGCTTACTGGTATTTCTATTGTCTTCGCCGCGTGCCGGCTTATAGCGTCTGGGCATTTGTTTGTTTTGGTTTCAGTCTGTCGACTGTATTTCGGATTCTAGGAATATTAAAAGTAATAATTTCTAATATTATATCCTCATGACTGTCGCTGTGACTAGATTCAAGGGAATTACGCAATATTAGATATTTAAAAGTCCTGTCTTCCCTTTCCTTTATCGGCGTCGCTGTGAGAGGTCGATAGGATTATTGAGGAATTCTAGGATTTGAGGAGTTCTCTCAGATACTGTTATGCACGTCCACAGTGCGCTATGCACTCTTATGTGGGGCTCTTGACGTATCAATCATCGAGAATGGATGATTGGGAGGGAAAAAAGGATAGAGGATAGGGGGGTATAAGGGTGGAACGTTACAATATATACATATACACACATACTAAAATACGTATATAGGTGATTTATATGCCACTGATTTTCGTTTATTTTTTTTGTCCACCTTCTGTCCCCTAACTGGATCGAGTTGCATAATTCGATGTCGTGGCCAAATTCAAATTGCAACCGCACGTATATTTGCATAAACGACACGCAACTCATATAGTGGACAGATATATGTAAGTAGGTATACATATGCATACCGAAAGCGGAGACGGAACTGGAACGCAGCTTGATACGTGGCTCGTTATTCATTTTGGATAGGGTTAAAAATTTCTATATATTAAGCCAGCCATTATTTATCTGTCGCGCACACATGTATAAATAGCTCAAATGCAAATTCAAATTTTCGTTCGTTACGAAAAAGATTTAACCTGATTAGCGGTTGGTATGGGTATCCGAACGTATTTGCTACCCCGACTGTACCACGTGTGTGAGGTAATTCGGGGATCGAAAAAAAAAATGGAATATCATAACGATACGCTGGTTCGATACGTTTCCTTTTATACTCGTCCTTGCCGCATCGGTTGATATTGAAATCGAAACCGAAAGTCGCCGTCGCTTGCGGTTCTGTCTTGTTTATGCAAATGTACTTATATACATGTTGCTTCCTTTTTTAAATTTTTTTGTGCGAACTCCTCGCGTAACACATGGCTCAATTTAATTGCCATAGGACTAATATTTAATCGTAGATTGTCTTTTAATGTTATAGCCAACCACACAGACTCGTCCTGATGCTCTATGGAACCTGGAGAAAGAAAGGAGAGACGTATAAGAAGCTGATAGAAGTACGAAAAAAAAGTCAACCATTAATTAACATGCGATATTTATTGGCAAACTTTTTTATTGGCCGAAAAAATTCGCGACAAATACACGAAAACAGGAACTGCTTTCCAAGGAGTCGTATGGGCGTCCCATGGTCTTTAGCATATTAATATTTCCGTTAGACATAAAACGCCGGTTATTGATAAATTAAGAATTGGATGTGGGTACGTTTCATTAAAGATTCAACGTGGCCGAACGAGGCAATAGGAGAAATTATGAAATGTCAGACAAACGGTTTTTTGAACTCTACAGGGTGGTTCTGCGTGAAATCAAATTCATGTTCGATATAGTGATACTGGCATTGGAATTAGAATTGTATGTACGGTGTATATAAATGCGACGTGCAATAAGCGCGGCTGCTAATCGGTTTGACGATGCGAGAGACTCAATAATCGTACCTAATACCAATCTAATACCGACCGATCTTTATTGTTTTAATGTCATAATCCCATGGGAGGGACATTGTGGCTTTTTCGATTTTGCCATAATCGCCCGAGCGCTAGTTCGAAATTACCTGTCAAAATTCATCAGCTGTATTGCACACTGACCTTAATCCTGTCAATTGGAATATCTTGCTCATGGAGTTTAGCTTGTAAATCCGTGTGCTTGCACAATCGGCCTGCTAACAGCATCTGTAATAAAAATACAGACAGAGCCATTGACCGGACCGTATAAATAAATTGTCTGGGACAATTATTAGATTCAATTGATTTTATAAATAAAATAGACGTTCTATTAAAGTATGGTCTTGTACGTATAATTTTGAGATCAATGTTTTACGAAAAAGTTGCCTGCCTTTTTTTTCTCTACACTTTTACGGTCCAGCCTCACTGTCATACGTATCGCGATTTGTCGGCCAATCCGGATTTTTATTTGGCCAATATCGATATTATCGATGACTTCGATCGAATGTTGCCAGGCGTAATTGCCGCTTGGTCCGAGCGATAACACGAACTTGTCACAATGATTCGCTGGCGATAATTATTACGAATCAAATGACAGATCTACGTGCATTTATTACCTGCTCTCATGGTTAATGTAATTCATCAAGTTATATAGTTTCTCATGCAACGGCGACACCTGCTTGTGAAAGTCATTTTTCAAATTTTGTAGTTTCTTTTTAGTTCCATAAAAACGGCTATCGAGAATCTTAAAGCTTATACGGATAGAGAGGATGTGGATCATCGGTAGTGTTGATAAATAGTTCAGATATTTCATAATCATTATGAAACCCTCTTAATAACCATAAATATACCCATTCAATAAGAGAAACTGGATAATAAATTAAAAATAGTCCGGTCGAATTTTTATTTCGGCGAAAAATATTAAAAAATTTTTTTCTAATTTAATTGTTTTATTATATCCTTTATCATTTGCAATTTATCAAACTGTTGCGTTCTTATGTTAAATCATTGGAAAATGCACTCTCCCAGAGTGCATCAACCTGCCATGGAGAAATGGCGAAAACAAAGCTAAGGAGGATCAGATGGAACGGCTTCAAGATGTCGGAGATTAGGCACTGACCCGGAACAAGAATCAGTTGCGCGGATGCTGTGAGCCTGTGGAAACCGCGCAGATTAAATGCACACTGATGTCCTGTGCACCTTTAATAAACCGTAGAGAAACGGTCGGAGTGATGAGATTGAAAATGAAAAGAGCAACAGCCGTGACGAAAAAAAAACGTGTTACTGTCTTTCTTGGATTTATTTATTACCGTATGTAAATAAAGCAATGAAAATCAAACGTTCCTGAATGATACTGAGTAAGCTTGTAATCAGGCATTCGCTCAGGGAAAAGTACCTGTACTGAACCAGTGTTCAATTACGCTGAAACGTAAATCATTGAATTGCAGTAGAAGATCGACATCTCGAAAGATAAACGCATAGTCATTAATATATATATTTTCTTCTTTTTGCATTCCTTCCATATTACTTTTTGCCCTCTTTGAATAAATACAGGATATATTGTATTCATATTGTTAAACCATATTAATTCACTCAGTATATACAGGGTGTTCCGAAATTACCTGACCAACGGGATATGGCGGTTTTCGGGAGACACCACTGATCACGAAAATGACCTTCCTTTTCTCCGGAAGGTCATAGTTTTTAAATAGGAGCAGGTCAAAGTTGACCAATCAGAGGGAGGCGTCAAGAGAAACGTAGGCACCTGCGAACTCTGAGTTTTCTTCCCTCGCTTTTGTTTCTCGGTGGCTTGTTTCTTGTTTCTTGTTTCCAATAGGCAAGTCTTCGGCTGACGTCATCCTGCCCGAAGCCACTGAGAAACAAAAGCGAGGGAAGAAAACTCAAAGTTCGTAGGTGCCTACGTTTCTCTTGACACCTCCCTCTGATTGGTCAACTTTGACCTGCTCCCATTTAAAAACTATGACCTTCCAGAGAAAAAGAATGTCATTTTCGTGATCAGTGGTGCCTCCCGAACACCGCCATACCCCGTTGGTCAGGTAATTTCGGAACACCCTGTATATTTAATGTATGATTCCATATTTGAGATTTGTATTAGGGACTTTGAATTCACTGACTTGATTTACGGTTCTTAGTCAATTTAGAACTTTTTCTCGTAAATATGTTTTATTTATAAATCAGTATGGAGCACACGGTATATTTAGGAGGGTCGATTAGATTTTTATATCAGATAAAATGACACTTCCGGCTATGATGAATGTATTAAATATATTGTTCAGCAAATAAAAAGTTTATCGGACCGTAAGTAAAAACTTGAAGACCTCCATTTTGCTTTGACCATGAAAGCACATAGTCCTTACTGCAAAATATGAAGGAATGGAAAAAAAATGTTAGTGAAAAGAATAGAACACACTTTTAATAACTGGCCTAATATTAATAACGTCTTCGAGATTTCACTATGATCTTTTTCTAGTTAAATGAAGAAAAAATACGTATGACCAGTCTAGCCAAACAACTTTATTTGATATCCGAGTATAATATTACGTCTCGTTACGAACGTATACGTTTCTGCTATTTCATTGCAAAACTCGTACACGGTGTGCCATTACGTTCCACAAGTATATTAAGTAATAACGGCAATTACATTTAGGATCGATCTTCAATAAAAAATTCAACGCAGACAACTTACCGTTTATGTATTATGAGGAAATCTTAAGAGAGATATATATCAGATATTACATTATTTGCTTATTGCACTGCTCGTTATTATACACTTAATCAGAATTAAATTGTTGAGTAAATATTTAATTCTGCAGCAATTTACTTGGGTTTTGAAAAACAATTCTACGTTACTTTATCGGGGTGAAACGCATTGTAGCTCCATCTTATACGTGTATGTGGAATTATTAAAAGAAAGTCAAAATCTTTTTTTACTATCGGACGATAAATATGTTTGTTTAACATTATCGGTAGTGACAATACTCAAAGATATTTTTAATTAATTTGTGATATTAAGAAACTTTCGAATTATTATTTTTATTTTAGATTCATTATTACTAATATTATTATTTTTTATTTGATTGGTTTCAGTCTTTTTTATCCTATTGTATTCAATATTTAGTTTGATTTAGTTGTAAAAGAAATCGAGAGAGGTCATGATCGTACTTTCTTCAACTTGGCGCGATAGTAAACGTCATTTATTTAAGTTTTCTCAAGAAATGTCTAGGGCAGGGTCCAGACTTGATTCTAAGAAAGTGGTAAGTTTATAGATTGAACTGTCGCGTTTAATAAAAATGTTATTTCGAAATTCTATGTTATCTGTATTCTATCATGTAACCTATTTAGATGTTGGAGGTTATATGATTAAGCGTCATTGTTACAGAATTCAGAACTGTTCACTTTAACTTATGGCGCATTGGTAGCTCAATTACTCAAGGATTATGAGAACATTGACGATGTCAATAAACAGTTGGAAAGAATGGGATACAATATGGGAATACGTTTGATCGAGGACTTTTTGGCACGCACTGGTTCTGGACGTTGCTATGACTTTCGAGATACAGCAGAGAAAATCCAGACTGGCTTCAAAATATTTCTTGGTATCACACCAACTATTACTAATTGGAGTACAGCTGGAGATGAATTTTCTCTTTGTTTTGAATCAAATCCACTAACCGAGTTTGTGGAATTACCAGATCATTGTCTGAATTTGAAATACTGCAATATATTAACTGGTGTACTAAGAGGTGCGTGTGAAATGGTGCAAATGGAAGTTGCCTCTTGGTTCGTTCAGGATCAGTTGAAGAATGACAGTGTCACTGAGCTGCGTGTCAAATTTATTAAGAGATTAGAAGATGCCATTCCAGCAGGAGAAGATTAAGAACTTCAATGAATGTGTTCATTGAGACATAAGTAATGCTGTATATAAGTATTATTTCTGTAACTACACGCTCCGTAAATATATAAACATGTATATTTACTCCAAAATAAAGTACTATGCTCTAGACATTCCATTTTTATTAATTTATTTCAAAAATTACTACATATTAATAAAATAGTGTCAATTACAAATATCAATGCCTTTAGTGGATAATTAACAAGTCTCTAAACTTTCACAATTGAGTATCTTCAGATGCATATAAAATGTATTAATTGAAAAATGAAATATAGGAACAACAGGTTTGTCATGTAGCACATCTATATCATCAAATAGTAATATTTTATGTATTTACCTCCACAAAACAGCCATCGCTCGTGTATCATTTTAAGATCATAATCGCTGCATGTCTTAAATTCTACATCCAGAACTTATTTTTGCCTATAAAATCTATTTTTGGTGGTTAAATGATTCGAATGTTTTCATTTTAATACCGAGTGCATGAAACATGATCTACAAAGTCGTTGCGAAATATAAAGTTCTGTTCTATGACCATGTGATAATTGTTTCCAATTGATGTTTTTTGAGATTCTCAATATTAAAAATCGAAATAATTTTACGATCACTCTATTATATTTAGACTTGCTATGCTATGCTTGTACAATGACAGTGATTATGTAACTGTATTATTAACAATTGCAGACTGAAGAACTGAAATTTTGTTACAAATTAGCATAAAGAATAATAGGGCAATGATCGCTTCCATATATCTTGTCCCTTATGACACAATCGCAAATGCAGTTTTTTATTCGTTCAGAGACTAAAAAATAATCCAATCTCCTGTTAAAAAAAAGAATGCAATACTATAATTACTCGAAGAAAAAAAGGCACGCTTGCAGTTTTCTTTTTAATACATACCACCCAATATTTTTACTTCTAGCATTTTGAAAATATGACCAATATGTGTAAGCATCTATCCTGTCAGGATACAGTGCTCTAAAAGTATCAACAAATCCTTGTTCAAGAAAATCTGTCATCCCATCCCTTTCTTCTTTAGTAAAACCAGCATTCCTTGTATTCGACTTTGGATTCTTCAAATCTATCATTCAAAAAAATAAACTAGTGATCAATCAACAAATTAGAACAGGTAAATGGAAATAGATATTTATGTCAGTTCCCGTTTCTTGTCAATTCGTACCAATTTCTTGATGTGCCACATTCATGTCACCGCAAACAATTACTGACTTCTCCTTGTCTAATTTCTTAATATAATTTTTGAAATCTTCATTCCAGCGTAATCTTTTAGGCATCGTGACCAATTTTTGTCCAGCATTTGGCACATCTTGGCAGAAATATAAATTAGTATTCAATTAATATACATTTTCCATAATTGACCAGAATTTTTGAAATACTCACAAACATTTACTATATAAAAATTCTTATACTCCGCAGTGATAAGTCTACCTTCATCATTACATTCCGAATCTGCTAATCCATATGTAACCCGCAGTGCTTTTTCTTTGGAATATAACGCTACTCCACAGTAACCGGGTTTTTTACCTATTTAACCAAGAAATGGGCAATATAGCCACATGATATGGCAGTAATTATATTGAATTCTTACTATCAAGAAAATAATGATGATATCCTTTCAATTTAACTTCTGGTGGTAGTTTATTTGTATCACATTTTGTTTCCTGCAAAACTACAATGTCTGCATCTTCTTTTTTAATATAATCTAATGCATTTTTCTGAAAAAAAAAATATTAACAACATTAAATATATAACCATATCCAAGGTATTATTATTACGAGTGTATTTCAAAATTCACTGCAAAATTCACAACCACTAATAGCAGTGAACTGCAAAATGTACCTTATCTTATATTAGTATTACATTGTAATCACATATTGTAATTCCATAATGTTTTTTATTAGACACTTGGATTGAAACATTATTGCTACTTTACTATTTAAAAATACAAATTACCTTTATACAAGCTCTTATCCCTGAAACATTCCAACTGCAAATTTTTATATTATATTTCTCCCCCTTTGCATTGAGCTTATCACAATCAAAACTGATCTCATCTAAATTGGAATCAGTTTTATTCATTAGCTTTTTAGCATCGGTTTTTGCCTTCTTAGCTGGGGGTTCCTCGATATCCTCTTCTTCCCTCTTAGTTTTTTTCATAAATACCTTAGCTAAAGGTTTCTTATCTTTATCATCTTTACTTGCAGAAGTACTAGCCTAAAATAAAAAGCCATTAACTATTCAAGAGCTCTAAAATAATCACCTAAAAATAAAATCTTAAAATGCTTAAAATATTAAAATACGTATTCTAATACAAGTAACTAACCTTTGTAGCCTTGGTAGCCTTTGTCACCTTCATAGATGACTTCTTTTTAGGTGGCATGATGCTGTCTAATAGATACCAAGAAAATTTACAAGTTGTAGGTACTTGGCGTTTAAACAATGCACAATGATTGTGACATATATTCACTACTATTTTCTGTGACCTTACTAGCAATACTTTATTAAAAGTCAAAGAAATACTCAATAATCTTTGTATTATCATAAAAAAAACAATTCTGCATATGAGAGTCAACGTGACAGACACAGCTTCGAAACGTGTTACTTACGCTACTCCAAAATTTGACGCTAATTTTAACGGATCGTCTAGTCCCGCCAAAAATGCAATAGTGGTAATAAAAAAAAAGATCAATAAGTAGAGACAAGGAGCGTTTATATTAAACGACCAATTAAAATATTATACAGTTTTTAATCCATGTAGATCTTGATATGAATACCACATACATTTCATACCCTGACAAATTTATGGTATTATACCATATCATACCAAAACCGTGGGTTCATACAGAGATGAGTAGGGAGATTGCCAATGAGCCTGTTTTTGGTGAAGGCAATTTTTCTCTGGTTTCGGCGCGCCACCTTAGCGGAGGGCCCTCGAAGCAGTTCCACGTTTTTGATTGGTCGTGTATATATAGTAATACTACGCGTGATAATCTGGAGCTGTGTTTTGGCGCGTCGACGCGCCACCTGAACGAGACTCTCGAACTAGTTCCACGTTTTTGATTGGTCGAATGAATTCGTGTGTTCCTCGAGATCCAC